GTGGTGGTTCAACATCACCAGTGGCTCGTGCCAAAGCTTCATCTTCGGCGGCTGCAACGGGAACGCCAACAACTTCCTGACAGAGCGGGAATGTCGGGAGAGCTGTGTCCTCGGCGGGGGTAAGGTCACCACAGGGAGAGGGGGGACGACACGGTGCTGATCCTGTCGCCAGGGGCATCCGGGGATCATCCCATGACACCAAATTGGGTTATTTTGGGGTTCTTTTTATTGTTTTGGTGTCAACACATGAAAATAACCCACCAAACTGGGCTATTTTATTGTATTGGTGCCAAACCCCCCCCAATAACCCACCAAACTGGGTCTGTTTTTCTTTTTGTAATCATTTTCCCCAGCTTCAAAGAAACCCGAGCATCGCGCCAAGCAGACTGACGCCAACTCCACCTATGACGGTAAACCTCACCGTGCTGCTCGGCGCTGCCGAATCCCTTTCCCCCCACCTTCCTCAGGCAGGACCAGGAGAATTTGGGGGGGGTCCTTGCCCACCGTAACCCCCCTAAATCCCCCCCAGAGCACTGCGCCGTTCCCCGGGTGACCGGCCCCTGCCGTGCCTCGTTCCTGCGCTGGTACTACAGCCCGGCAAACCGAACCTGCCGGCAATTCACCTACGGCGGCTGCCGGGGAAATAAAAACAACTATCTCAACGAAGAGGAATGCTTGAGCCGCTGCAGCCCCAAGCCAGGTGAGGGACAGGGGACCGTCCCTGAGGGGCCTTGGGGACATCCCTGTGCCCCCCCATCTCACTCCAGTTTCCCTCCCCACAGAAGATGCTGGTGGCACTGGTACCGATTTCCACAGCAATTTCCTCTCTACCAAAGGTAAGCGCCGGTGGGGTTCTGCTCCCCACCTCCCTTGGCGACGTGGGTGACACCCTAACGTCACCTCTCAGTTTTTGGGGTGTCCCTCCCAACAGCGCTGGCACTGGGGGTGCTCCTGGCCATCCTGGCAATCATTTTGTTGGGTTACGTGACGGACGTCACCCTCAAGATACAGAAAACCGGAGCTGCCGGGAGCAGGAACGGGATGGAGCCCCGGGGACGACAAGGAGTATCTGATGAGCAACGCCTACACCCTCTGAGGGGGGGCACCCCATCTTTGTGGACTCCCCCCAAAATGACTTCTCTGGTGCATTTGGGGCACCTCACTTGCTCTTTCTCATTATTTTTCGCGGGGCGTTCTGTTTTTTTAAATTGTTTTGTAGAAAAATGGGGTTGTGGCGGATCACGGGAAATC